GAACCATGCAGGACACACTGTTGGACATGAGACGAACCATGCAGGACACACTGTTGGACATGGGGTTTCTTATGATCCATTGGATCTTCTCGGTGGTGGAGGTTAATTAAACTGAATGTTTGTGTTGCCCCCAAGACAAAGTCGTTAATTATTATGCTGAACATTGTTATTGTTTGTTGTCTCCCCCCCCCAGCCGAACTCTGACCGCTGTCCACGACGCCATCTTGGAGGACCTGGTGTTCCCGAGTGAAATTGTGGGGAAGAGGATCCGAGTGAAGCTGGACAGCAGCAGACTCATCAAGGTCCACCTGGACAAGGCTCAGCAGAACAACGTGGAACACAAAGTGAGTCTGGGGGGGCTGCTTGAATCCTGGTAGGGGAAACTAGACCAGGGGTGGACAAACTTTCAGACTCGTGGGCCACATTGAGTTCTACAATTGGAGCGCCGGGCCGGGCACAGCTGGAGGGTTAGTGTGCTGTTGCACCCCAGCTCAATAAGAGCTGCCGGGACGCTCTTCATGATGGTTGATTCCACCTGGTGCACCTCGAGCAGCCACCAAGTCCGATTACACGATGGAACAGTGGTTTATGTACAATAGTTAGACTGACTTTGTGGAGTCTTACCAAGTTCAGACCAAACAAACAAAACAAACCACTGGATCTTCTCTTACCTGAAGAAAAATCAAATGAACCAAACCTCACTGTGCTCATGGAACACAGGAGAAACATCTAAATAAAGTGTCACCTCCACAAACTCCACTAAACTTTTTACAACTGCAGGATCTGAAGGTGATGACAGGTCAGCAGGTTGGGATGAAGCAGACGTGCTCCTCCTGCAGCTCCTCCTGCAGCTCCTCCTGCAGCATCACAACAGAGCACCTGCACAATAATTCACACACAAAGCATGACCTAGTGATTCCTGATGTTTAGAACATCTGGTCCAGGTTTTCCTTTCACTTTATCCTGGATTCTTGTCAGCAGCCCGACATGTTTTACACTTGACTCTGGTGACGTGTCCGTTGTGACTTTACTCCACAGAAGCTTCATCTCACGACAGCAGACGGTTCTAAACATCACTCAAAAACACCTCCATTATCTCAAACTGTTAGTCCCACAGATAAAAAATAGGAGCTGAGCAGTGTCCTTTATTACTTTCATCCAGTAAACCGTAACTTAAAGGACTCTCTCTGTCTTTTACCTTATTTTGTTCAATCTTCATCCGGCAGTTCCACAAGTCGAGTCCCAGTCCTGCGTGATAAACTCTTTTTTTCTGACTTCTCTTGGCCCTCCGGACACAACAGACCTGCTCTGGTTTTACCACGTTTCTTTAAAAAAATCACCATCGGAGAAAGGCTTGCTAGCATAGTTAGCACAGTTAGCATAGTTAGCATTTAGCACAGTTAGCAGTTAGCACAGTACTCTTTGAAAACCGCAACAGGTTCTTGTCATAAACTCTCTGACTGGACCTCAGTGAAACAATAAGTTGTTGTCCAGCCCGTTTTAAACACTCTGCACTCACTCTACACTTTTCTTTGATAAATACGTTTTTACAGACGAGTTCGTACGGCAAAGTCAAAATAAAAGTGTAGAAGAAGAAATTACTTCTTCTCCACTTGCCTGTAACACACACCAGTGTCTGTAGTGCGCCTCTACTGGAGGAATGCTGGAACTACAGGTAAAACCAGTTTTTTTCTATTAAATGCAGCTTTTTTAAATATAATTTGAACCAGTGGAAATTTTAACCTCTTTCTGGGCACCCCTGAAAAATAAAGTATAATTTTATTATTATTATTTTTATTGCCCAAATTTTGGACAATTTCAGCGGACCAATTGAAAAGCTCAATGGGCCGTATACGTCCCCCGGGGTTTGTCCATGTCTGCTCTAGACTGTCACCTTGATGGGGTCAGGACCTGCCTGACTACTAGAACACCGTGACCCGTCTTTAACCTCGAGTCGTCCTCGTTGTGAGTCATGTTTTGGTTCTGGTCCACTGAGTGTTTGGATCAGAAACACTCTGTGTCCTCCGATGTGGACATCCAGGAGACACGTCCCCTGGCTCTGTCCTGGTGGCGTATGGGAGCGTAGCTCTGAGCTGAGACGTACAGTCCCGTTCCACGACGTCGGACAGAAAGCTGCGTCCCCGGTGAGGACCGGCGTCCTGCATATTCCTACACCTTCCCAGAGTCCTTTGGGGCCGTTACTGGGGAGACAAACCATGCAGGACACATTGTTGGACATGAGACGAACCATGCAGGACACACTGTTGGACATGAGACGAACCATGCAGGACACA